GGCAGCAGAGGAGCAGTGGCAGCTGGACGTGTGGTGGCTGTTTTGCAGTCAGCAGGTAAATAAATACTTAGATGTTTCATTAGGATTTTAACTTGTAACAAAGAAAAAGTTCATGAAAATATCATAATCTTAGATTAGATAATGACATATGCTCTATCATTATAATAGTACATATAACAATGACATAATCAATGATCTAATTAATGATAACAATAACTGTGAATAATGATTCAGTTCATTTTAATTGTATTTATACAGCGCTAAATCACAACAACAGTTGCTGAGTAACTGAGTCCCAGGGCTGACATACTTGTTATACTTGCTATAGAAATAAAGCGATCACCAAAGCTTGAAGTGAAAACACAAAGTCGGACACACTCGAGTGTCGCACATGATACAAATTCTACTTGTAAGCACAAATTGTTTGGATTTTGTTTTATCAGTGCATAATAATGCACTGATAACAAAGTGACATATTACCATCTGGTTATAAATTGATGGTCTGCCAAAAACTAATTTCTGACATTTAAACTGTTGTGAATGACACAGTGGCGTTTAATCTGATGCAAATTTCTCATGAACGAAATCAAAAATTATTTATTTTATTTTATGCTATAAAGAACATTTCTTTCAGAAGCTACAGCCACAAAGACACTGGTTTCTTTATTTTATATCATGTGACCACTTCATAAATCCTACTAACACCACGGCATTTACCAATATAAGCAAAGATAAGAAACACAAAAAGTGAGGAGAAATGACTCTTCAGTTTGTGTGGCTCTCTGTCGCCCTCTGTTTTTCAGCTGTGAACATAAAGTTTTGTTTCCGAGGAAAGGAAACCTTTCTTGCTATAAAAATCATCCCATTTCAGAGCAGAAACAGGGCAGATAAAGACATGGACCCCGGTGAGTCATTTGAGTTGCTGTGCATGAATCGTCTTTGATAAAAAAATTATGGAATGTTAATGTGTGTTCTTATGTTGTGTTGTAGTGACAGCTGTGTGCAGTGCTGCAGGAGCAGGTAAGCACTTTATTTAATTTTAACTCATTTGAATCAAAGCCTGATCCATGTCTGATCCATGTCTTCTTCCTGCAGTAGGTGCCGTAGTCGCTGCTCCTGCTCTTCTGGGAGCTGCTGGTTTCACCTCAGCAGGAATAGCTGCAGGCTCCTACGCTGCAAGCATGATGTCTGCAGCTGCTGTGGCCAATGGAGGAGGAGTGGCAGCAGGAAGTGCAGTGGCTGTTTTGCAGTCAGCAGGTAAAAATAAATAAATAAATATTTTACCAGCAATTACTCAAAAACCTTTATTATAAACCTGAAATATCCCAGAAACAATAACATGTGACTGTGCTGCAGTGAGGATAATACGACGGACTATTAGGTCCACGTAAAGAAAAATATTATCAATCATTTTGAGAATAAAGTCGAAATGTGGAGATTACAAGTGTCTGAAGAAAAGCTCCCACGGTTGCTACTGTATGTCATCAGAGTTTGTGAAATTGTGCTTCAGAATCGGTTTTAGTAAGAAAGAAAGAAATGATTTTTCTTTAAGCTCATGAACACAGTGTGATGATAAGTGTTAGGCTGTACAAAAAGCTGCGGCTGGTAATGGACAGATGCGAGGTTATCGATGGTTACATCCTCGTGCAATAAAGAGGATGAATGTTGTATCACAAGACGGCTGATCAATTTGTTTCACTAACTCATCTAAATAAGGAATTTTCTTTAGCGGATATAGCGCATGTGGCAGCTTGTGTTCAAACAGTAATGTCCATATCAACAACATTTCTGTTGTGGCTCTAATACTCCGTCGTAGGATAAAGCCTCCCTCTCTCCTCTGCAGCTCAGTTACTTCATCTAACTGCTTGATCAGCTGTCTGGTGTTCTGAAGCCTGTTTTCTCTCTGCAGGTATGGCAGGTCTGTCTGGGGCCGCCACCGCAGCCGTGGGTACTGTTGGAGGGGCTGTTGGAGGATTGGTGGCTGCTCTCATCTGAGACCAGGAAATTATGATAATCAGAAAGAAAAAAACAATAATAGTAATAAATGACATATTTACTGCTGCCAATTGGAAACAGTTGCAATAGTATCAGCGTCATGCTTCAGCAAAGCTTGGCTGAAACTTGCTTGCTGGTAATGCTGTGGTGTTTTATTACAAAACACATGGACACGGACAAATTGTGCAATTTTAAATAAAGCCCTAATAAAATACTGAAAAACGTTTTAAAGTTGTGTTTTGTTTATTTGCATTATTATGGTTATATGTTATTATTTATTTATGTATGTGTTATCTTAAAAAAATAAGACATGTATCATTATTTTTATATAACTGAGTCCCAAGGCTGACATACTTGCTATAAAAATAAAGCGATCACCAAAGCTTGAAGTGAAAACACAAAGTTGGACACACTGAGTGTTGCACATGATACAAATTCTACCTGTAAGCATAAATTTTAGATTTTATTTTTTAACTGCATTATTATACTGATAACAAAGTGACATATTACCATCTGGTTATAAATTGATGGTCTGCCAAAAACTAATTTCCGACATTTAAACTGTTGTGAATGACACACTGGCGTTTAATCTGATGCAAATTTCTCATGAACGAAATCAAAAATTATTTATTTTATTTTATGCTATAAAGAACATTTCTTTCAGACGCTACGGTCACAAACACTGGTTTCTTTATTTTATACATGTGACCACTTCATAAACGAAACACAAAAATACAGATACAGTTTGTGTTGCTCTCTGTCGCCCTCGGTTGTTCAGCTCTGAACATAAGGTTTTGTTACTGAGGAAAGGAAACCTTGCTTGCTATAAAAATCAGCCCATTTCAGAGCAGACGCAGGACAGAGGAGCAGTGGCAGCTGGACGTGTGGTGGCTGTTTTGCAGTCAGCAGGTAAATAAATACTTAGATGTTTCATTAGGATTTTAACTTGTAACAAAGAAAAAGTTCATGAAAATATCATAATCTTAGATTAGATAATGACACTATGCTCTATCATTATAATAGTACATATAACAATGACATAATCAATGATCTAATTAATGATAACAATAACTGTGAATAATGATTCAGTTCATTTTAATTGTATTTATACAGCGCTAAATCACAACAACAGTTGCTGAGTAACTGAGTCCCAGGGCTGACATACTTGTTATACTTGCTATAGAAATAAAGCGATCACCAAAGCTTGAAGTGAAAACACAAAGTCGGACACACTCGAGTGTCGCACATGATACAAATTCTACTTGTAAGCACAAATTGTTTGGATTTTGTTTTATCAGTGCATAATAATGCACTGATAACAAAGTGACATATTACCATCTGGTTATAAATTGATGGTCTGCCAAAACTAATTCTGACATTTCTGTTTGATGAAAGCGTAATCTGATGAAATTCATAACGATAATATTTTTTTTTATGCATAAGAAATTTAGAGTACACAAAGACCTGGTATTTACATGACTTATAAATACTAACCACGCATATAGCAAACATTTCTCATGAACGAAATCAAAAATTATTTATTTTATTTTATGCTATAAAGAACATTTCTTTCAGAAGCTACAGCCACAAAGACACTGGTTTCTTTATTTTATATATGTGACCACTTCATAAATCCTACTAACACCACGGCATTTACCAATATAAGCAAAGATAAGAAACACAAAAAGTGAGGAGAAATGACTCTTCAGTTTGTGTGTGCTCTCTGTCGCCCTCTGTTTTTCAGCTGTGAACATAAAGTTTTGTTTCCGAGGAAAGGAAACCTTTCTTGCTATAAAAATCAGCCCATTTCAGAGCAGAAACAGGGCAGATAAAGACATGGACCCCGGTGAGTCATTTGAGTTGCTGTGCATGAATCGTCTTTGATAAAAAAAAGGGAAAAATAGATGTTAATGTGTGTTCTTATGTTGTGTTGTAGTGACAGCTGTGTGCAGTGCTGCAGGAGCAGGTAAGCACTTTATTCAATTTTAACTCATTTGAATCAAAGCCCGATCCATGTCTGATCCATGTCTTCTTCCTGCAGTAGGTGCCGTAGTCGCTGCTCCTGCTCTTCTGGGAGCTGCTGGTTTCACCTCAGCAGGAATAGCTGCAGGCTCCTACGCTGCAAGCATGATGTCGTCTGCTGCAGTTGCTAACGGAGGAGGAGTGGCAGCTGGAAGTGTGGTGGCTGCTTTGCAGTCAGCAGGTAAATAAATAATTAGACGTTTTATTCGGATTTTAACTTGCAACAACATGCAAAAAGACAATTTTCATGAAAATATCACAATGACATCATCACTGAAATCATTAATGATAACGATAACTGTGAATAATGACGATGATAATGATTCAGTACACTGTGATATCAGCAGGACTGAAGTTATATAGGCACAAAGTATAAGTATTTCTCAGCTTCTTTGTGTCATGGTGCTGCAGGTGCAGCTGGTCTGTCAGCTACTGCTGGTGCTGCTGTGGCTGGTGCTGGAGCAGCAGTGGGATGGCTGGCGAGTTTCATCAGCTGAAAATCATGAAGAACTCATATATTTGCTTTACCCATCTTTTTATGCCTAAAGACGAATAAAAATACTTAAGAAAAAAATCCTGATTGAAGTTGTCATAATTCATGCATGAAAGGCTTAAGTATTACATTAATAAAAAGATTTAAACTCCAGGTGATCTCAGCAATAATATTGTTTTTTAGCCGTTTGTAATACTAACTGTATTCTTAAACTTATATATAACAAGGACAACACAAGTTCTTACAGATAGACGACTGATGAGGCAGGTTTAAGAGTGCAGTCAGAAATGAACATGACTGCCATGTGTTATGTGTTTAGTTTATCTCTCTTTAAGTTTACAGTTAAAAGGAAGCCATTTTATCCAAAAAATCCAAATCCAATTTAAAAACAGAAGGTTTCCCCAAAGTGCTGTACAGAAACAAAAGGGTAGAAACACAAGATACAACCCTGACACTCACATATAAGCATAATAATATACATAAGAACATATCAACTCACAGCCAGTCTGAGCTATCGAAAAAAGGTGTGTTTTCAAAAGCGATCTTAAAAACAGGAAACGAAGATGCCTGTCTAATATTTAAAGGCAGCGTATTCCAAAGTTTTGGGGCCATAACTGAAAAGGCTCGTTCTCCTCTACATTTAGCCTTAGATTTTGGGACAACCAACAGCAGCTGGTCAGCTATCTTAGGTGTCCCTAAGAATTATCATCATCATGATTACAGCAACTGTTAGCGTGTTTATTAATTCACCTTGAGAACTCAAAGCCAAAACATTTCCTCTTTGATAAATGTATTATTTAAGGTTCAAGGTTCAAGGTTCAAGGTTCTTTATTTGTCACATGCATAGTTATACAAGTATAACACACAGTGAAATGTAGCCTGACACGCTCCTCGACATGTGCAAAAAATTGGGGGGGGGGGGGGGGGGGGGGTGTAGAGGAAAACATTTTATATATATATATATATATATATATATATATATATATATATATATATATATATATATATATATATATATATATATATATATATATATAATAATATCAATATATAATATATATATATATATGTTATATATATACTATATACACATACAGTGGGGCAAAAAAGTATTTAGTCAGCCACCGATTGTGCAAGTTCCCCCACTTAAAATGATGACAGAGGTCAGTAATTTGCACCAGAGGTACACTTCAACTGTGAGAGACAGAATGTGAAAAAAAATCCATGAATCCACATGGTAGGATTTGTAAAGAATTTATTCGTAAATCAGGGTGGAAAATAAGTATTTGGTCAATAACAAAAATACAACTCAATACTTTGTAACATAACCTTTGTTGGCAATAACAGAGGTCAAACGTTTACTATAGGTCTTTACCAGGTTTGCACACACAGTAGCTGGTATTTTGGCCCATTCCTCCATGCAGATCTTCTCGAGAGCAGTGATGTTTTGGGGCTGTCGCCGAGCAACACGGACTTTCAACTCCCGCCACAGATTTTCTATGGGGTTGAGGTCTGGAGACTGGCTAGGCCACTCCAGGACTTTCAAATGCTTCTTACGGAGCCACTCCTTTGTTGCCCGGGCGGTGTGTTTTGGATCATTGTCATGTTGGAAGACCCAGCCTCGTTTCATCTTCAAAGTTCTCACTGATGGAAGGAGGTTTTGGCTCAAAATCTCACGATACATGGCCCCATTCATTCTGTCCTTAACACGGATCAGTCGTCCTGTCCCCTTGGCAGAAAAACAGCCCCATAGCATGATGTTTCCACCCCCATGCTTCACAGTAGGTATGGTGTTCTTGGGATGCAACTCAGTATTCTTCTTCCTCCAAACACGACGAGTTGAGTTTATACCAAAAAGTTCTACTTTGGTTTCATCTGACCACATGACATTCTCCCAATCCTCTGCTGTATCATCCATGTGCTCTCTGGCAAACTTCAGACGGGCCTGGACATGCACTGGCTTCAGCAGCGGAACACGTCTGGCACTGCGGGATTTGATTCCCTGCCGTTGTAGTGTGTTACTGATGGTGACCTTTGTTACTTTGGTCCCAGCTCTCTGCAGGTCATTCACCAGGTCCCCCCGTGTGGTTCTGGGATCTTTGCTCACCGTTCTCATGATCATTTTGACCCCACGGGATGAGATCTTGCGTGGAGCCCCAGATCGAGGGAGATTATCAGTGGTCTTGTATGTCTTCCATTTTCTGATGATTGCTCCCACAGTTGATTTTTTCACACCAAGCTGCTTGCCTATTGTAGATTCACTCTTCCCAGTCTGGTGCAGGTCTACAATACTTTTCCTGGTGTCCTTCGAAAGCTCTTTGGTCTTGGCCATGGCGGAGTTTGGAGTCTGACTGTTTGAGGCTGTGGACAGGTGTCTTTTATACAGATGATGAGTTCAAACAGGTGCCATTCATACAGGTAACGAGTGGGGGACAGAAAAGCTTCTTACAGAAGACGTTACAGGTCTGTGAGAGCCAGAGATTTTCCTTGTTTGAGGTGACCAAATACTTATTTTCCACCCTAATTTACGAATAAATTCTTTACAAATCCTACCATGTGGAATTCATGGATTTTTTTTTTCACATTCTGTCTCTCACAGTTGAAGTGTACCTCTGGTGCAAATTACTGACCTCTGTCATCATTTTAAGTGGGGGAACTTGCACAATCGGTGGCTGACTAAATACTTTTTTGCCCCACTGTATATATATATATGTATATACATTGGGTGAATGTGCAGTAGTAGCAGCAAGCAGGTGAATTCTGTACATTAATATGAATAGACATCTGACTATTTTACAGGATAGACAATATAAACATATTTAAAATTAAAGGAATTGAAATGTACATTGTGCCTTGGTTTAGTGTCTGGAAGAGTCCTGTCTCAGTCAATTATAGATGATGTGAGAGGGCGGGTGTGTGTGTTTAGGGCACGGATGGCTTGGGGATAGAAGCTCCTCTTGAGTCTCTCTGTCCTTGCCCGGAAGATGCGGAACCTTCTACCAGATTGCAGAAGTTGGAACAGTTTGTTGCCAGGATGGGACGGGTCCTTCAGTATCTGTAAGGCATTGAATGATTAAAGATGAGCATGTACATGAGACCTGTCAGGCTCATGTGCTGAACTGAACCAGAAACACACATGCAGAATCAACAATGACAATAAACTGAGAGAAACAGAGGGTTTAAATTAAACTGGGTAATGGTGATAAGAACAAGGTGATACACACAGCTGAAGTAATAACACAGGAAGTGGAACAAAAGATAACGCACACAGGTCGGAGCTAACATAATAAAACAGGAAACAGTGACAAAGTCCAAAACTGAAAAACACTGGGACAATGACCCAGGAACACTGACAGATCTCTTTTGTTCAGAAAACCACAGGCAGTTAACTGCAGCCAGTTTTCCCAAGAGAGAGTAACCTGGCTCAGCAGTATACAAAGTTTTATATGTGAATGTGCGTCTGTGTAACTGGTTAAAACTGATGGGGAGAAATTATAGTTTGCACTAAACTATCCCTTCATTGGTGCCCCAAACTAGTCCCAGCCTCTCAGCACTAACGATTTTTCCCTATTTTCTAACCTTTACCAAATGACTTGCTGTATTAGTGACCATGAGAGCAACCCTGGTTGAGTTACAGGATGCAGTTTTTGTCTCACGCAGTCCCGATGACCCACACACCACAGCATTTCAGTCAGGTTAAGCTCTGGACTTTAATTTGCATGTGTTTTTATTTTCACATTAAATTTGTAAAGACAACAGGAGCATGCAGTCATTGGACCAGATAAAACATCTTTATCCTCTACAATTATATTTTATTTCAAAATCATGAGTAAAAATCAGCAACAAAGGTTATCAAACATTTTTGTAATTCTCAAATCATGCTTTAATCTGAGTCTTTGACATTTACATATAAGAATACATTTTCATTCAGGATATTGAGATTTGTCACAGGAGGAAACATTTGTAGGCCAGTATACGTTATTCAATGGTTTAATCTTCATATTTCACAGTCACGTTACACATAGTTGAGATCACCCAACCCACTGCTCTTAATAATAATAACAATAATAATGGATTGCATTTATATAGCGCTTTTGGGGCCCTCAAAGCGCTTTACAATTCCACTATTCATTCACTCTCACATTCACACACTGGTGGAGGCAAGCCACAGTTGTAGCCACAGTTGTGCTGGGGCAGACTGACAGAATGCAAGAAGGAATTTCCTCTTAAGCAAACAGAACATACAACAAAAGAAAAAACAGGTCACTCAAACTAACCTGCCTTAATAATTAAAAGTACAGAACTTGTTTTGAAGTAAGAAAGAAAAGGCCCTAAAGGCAAATTCCTACGAGGGCCTAAGAGTACATCTTTCACCATCTTACAATACTGTGATTACAGCCATTCCCCAACTCTCTGTCAATGGTATTCATGGCCAATGATCAGTGGGCTTTGATCAATGGTTGCTGATCAATGGTCATGAGAATTTGCATAATCATGATGAAGGAACTGACCTCCCAGCCCATCCCAAGAAGGGATTTCCTCCTAAGCAAACAGAACATATAACAAAAGGTAAAACGGGTCATTCAAACTAACCTGCCCTGACAAATTCAATGCACAGAACTTGTTTTGAAGTAAGAAAGAAAAGGCCCCGATTCTTTATTTATCTGGTTCCTGAATGTAAAGGAGAACTCTTCATGGGCGAGGCTTCATCACATTCCACTGCTGTTGTCACTGCAGTGGTGTGACGTCACAATTACGTTTGAACAACTACTAGAAGATACAAAGTGCTTCAAAAATAGAAATAGTACAAATTTAAATAGAACAAGTATGATAAAAAAAAAAACATTAAAAAACATAACTACATGTCAAATATTCATAAAAGCTTTTTAATGTTAAAAAAAGAGCATTAAGAAGCAACACCTAAGGCAATAAAGTTCCTGTCCTCCATGAACTGTTCTGTGACAAAAAGACCACTGTGGGGTCACCTGTCCGAATGACAAGTTTTGTGGTTTGTTTAGATGAATCTTTGCAAAGCTGCTGCCTTGTTCTTTTGAAAGATAACAGGCTTCTCATGGCAGCCC